CCAGCACACATCAATCCGGCTCCTGGCTTCTGTCAAGGAAACATTTCAAAATAATGCATTATTTTATTTCATTGACCACCTTGCAAAAGACAAACAGCAAACACATCACCACCAAAAACAAAAAAAAAAGTCAACAGGTAGGTACCAGCTGATCTAGCCGTGCTGTGTCATGTGCCTTTGAAAAACTTTAGCAGTCAGGGTTGAATAAACACCCCAAAGTTAGCCATTCATGCATGAACAAGTGCAAAATCTGGTCAAGCATTTTAATAAAAATGAAACCAACAGCAACCTACAATGCTGTAGGTTACAATTATAAACAAGACAATTACAAAAAAAAAAATAACAGCAGAGCTTACTCTACAAGGCATAACCATTAATTTTATAACTGACATCCAAATTTGCATCTCCGAAGTTTAACCCACCTACCAGCCACCTGCATGTTTCTGCGCACATGTGCTGCGCAGTGTGCACAGTCACTACACATTACACAGTTATGAGGATTAAAATAGTTTTGAACAATCAAACAAGTCAGGACTGGTATGCAGATTCACAAGTTCTCTCAACATCTTCAACTACCAACAATCAAGAGCACCTTGTGATCTCAGTAACTCCGCAGATCCATCTTCTGTTTTCTATTTTCAGTTTTCAATTGAAATATAAGTTCCATCTGGGAGACACATGTTGCATCATTATGTTTAAACAATTATTATGCTTGAACTTTTGGTTTTTCATGTGAACTTCACTTCAAAAGTTGATTCAATTTTTAAAGTTGATACCTATAGTTTGTATAATGCTACGATCACGGCGCACCAAATCACAGATAACTTGAAAATAACCAAGCAAAAGCCACATTCTTCAGCAAACTATGAAAGCTATCTGATCCATGCTGCGTTGAAATAATTAACAATCGCCAAAATCAGTCAAAATATGACAATTAAATTAGTATAAACTTCATAAAACTTTTATTTGTGAGGCAATGCGCAACAGAAATGCGAGGGAATATGGTAGTAATCTGGTAGCAATTATGAAGGATTTCCCCTGTAGCTGATAAAAATCACAGAAACAATTTTTTTTAACGCAGAGGAAATCCTTCATTATGAGTTGCAAGGGCCATTTGATTGGCCCATTTTGGTCAAATATAGGCCGATTGTTTCGATTTCAACCCCATTTATCGTAATGAGACGAATCGATTGGCTTAGTGGTACGTCTTTTGAACACATATAGGCCTTGGATTTCTCCTTAGCCTGCCTGAAACACACCATGATTAGCATGCATTGCTATGGGTGAAGGAAAATTCATGCGCCGTGATGACGTCACGGTAAAGGAATTCTGGAGCTCGTGAACGGGGGCTGGGTTACATTATCGAATATCTATTTATCTAGTTTTATTATCGAATAGCATCGAACGTTTTAATATTAATTAGTGTTTTAGTAAATTAGATGCTTAGATTAGATGTTTAGATTAGATATTTAAGATAAGATTAGATGTTAAATTAGATTATATGTTAAGTGTTTTATAATTAGAATGTTTTAGTAAATTAGTGCATGTTTTAGTATCGAATACACCTTGCTTGGTATTTTTGACGGCTTTTAACTACGAATCTTTTGCACCAGATGCTTTTTATTTCTAATGTGCATTACAAAATACATACATTACATGGATATGGGAAGTATCGAATCCACTTGGCCTGGTATTTTTAACAACTGCTTCTTACGAATTTCGTGCACCATATGCTTTTTATTTCTAATGAGAATTACCTAGGTATGCACCACACATCCTCTTGCTGATTTAGGTACGGCATTTTTATATTGATTTCAGTTGTTAGCGTCTTGATATTTGCTGGATATTTGCACATTGACCGAAATACATAGATGCCTTAAATCAAGGCATCTATGTATTACGGCCAAGACGCATGGCATGTAACCACCGTGAAGAACAGGGGCCCGAGAACGATTTTCAAGTTGGGGGGGCGAGCCTAAAATACCTGACATGATGCATATGAAACAGTGGCGTAGCTGCAGCTAGGGGTCTAACGGGACACGTACTCCCCCCCCCCCCATCGGGTTCAAAAGGACCCTGGGCCCTGGGGTCCGAGGGGCCCTGCAGCGCCATTTGACCGCTGAGGGCTAACGATTGTCATATTTCGACTTAGAAGCACCTCACGGGCCCCAAATAGCCACACTAAGATCTCCATAAGGGCCCCACACCGGTGACTCTATTTCAAGGGCCCCACCGGCGTCTGACAGTACCATGCCGGTCTCTAAGGACCCCACAGGACTTCTTCTGTCGGCCTAAGGGCCCCTTACGCGTCAGCAGCTCTAAAGGCCCCACACCCGTCTGTAACGGCTTCACACCAGCGTCTATGAGGGCCTACAGCAACGCCTGTAAGGACCCTCACCGGCGCCTATGAGAGAATCACACTAGCACCTCTGAGTGCCCACACCGGCACCTGCATGACCGCCCCACACCAGTGCCTCTAAATCTAAACTCTAAGGGCCCCTTACCGCCGGCTCTGATGGCCTTGCGCCGGTTATTCTGAGGGTGCTACCGATAACCGAAGGCACCACACAAGCCCTTAGTGTCGCTGAGCTTTAATCCCATACCGGCCCTCCGAGGGCGCCACGTCGGTGCACTCATCCACACCCCTTCCTCACACCCAGAGCGGGTAAACTGTGTTATACCTATAGCAACGATTTTACCACCGTTGTATGTACGTTATGTATTTCTCAAAGTTGACCCAAAATGGTCCATTATAAAATCTGGCCTGTCAAACATATGGCCAAGGTCAGACCCAAACCGAAGCGGGATGACAATAGCAGATGTTGTCAAATCGATACTGTACCAATCAGCAGAATGCATTCAGATGGCAAGGAAAATGCCGTGTGTTGATGTTTAGATGTATAAAGGAAACAAGAAGGAAAGAAGTCCGGAAAAAGGAGGAAAGATCCTTTCTCGCTGCCTCAGTGTTGAGGGGCGCCGCCCCCTCGGCTCCCAAGTTGGGGGGGGGGGGGCAAGCGCCCCCGCTGCCCCCCCCCCCCCAGTTCCCGGGTCTATGGTGAAGAATGTGCATTTTTATTGTTTATATTTCAAGGCCTCCTCATCCGGTATTCAAGGTTGAAGAAAACCTTTAATAGTTAAAAAAGTAAAATTCTTGGCATTCAGCTATGGGTGACATCTACAATGCTTCTTTTGGTGTTGTAGATCACAAGCATAGGTGGCGCAGGCTACATGCAGTAAAATACTTGGATGAAATTGGAAGTAGGTATGCTATGAATAATGCGTACTCAAACGTGACAGGTGATTGGACTTCAATAAATTATGTTCTTATTACTATTTTACTGTCAATTCTTGCTCACAATTGGTATCATATTCACAGATTACCCCACGAATGTCTGCCGTAATTTTGGTCGGATATTTGGGGTAGAACCGACGATAATCAGCTGATTGATTGGCTTGTTCAGTTGCTCACGGACCGTGAGCATCTGTTTGCATGGCAAATTTGGGGTAAAATAAGAACTACTCCATGGGGTAGTTTGGAAGTGGCCAATCAGAACCTACCCCATTTGGTGAAACTGGTTTGGGGTAGTTTCGCCGAAACTACCCCAAACAGAGCTTGGTGAAACTGGGCCCTCGAGTGATTTCTGTCAACCAGCTGCTGACAATTGAATGGCGACTGCAAGCATTGGGAGACGGAGCGCGCGCTGTAAGTCAACACCTGTGTTGAGCCGATGACGCAGTCGGCTGGGGTCGCTGCACCCGAACTGAAGGTCGGAGCGCGGGCCCCAGAACCATTAATTCCCTCGATCCAATGATTGCGCCGATAAAATCATGATCAATTCACATCACGACGCGAGCTTCGAAGTTCGAACTTCGATCGAAATGTTTGGTGGATCATTGATATTACGGCAGATCAGCTTACGTTACTTAACTGCGAAGTTAACTAGCTGTTAAGTTTGCATACTGATGCGATTCATGCTCATGGTATGTCAAACCGCCTGTCATGACACTGGAGCTCGTTCAGCGCTATCGCGTTATTTCCTCGCCCATTAGAACAGCTTGTAGCCACCTGGGGCACATGGACTCAGTGACCCCGCCCAGTTCATTGCCAAGGCCACCGAGACAATCTGTCGTCCAGGACGGGAGCAGAGCAGTCATCGGCCCGGCGCGGCCGACACCAGCCGGCGGCGGTGACGGACGCTAAACCGGTCCGTGGCCGCCGGCCGACCGACCGACCGGGACGCCGACTCCCTCATCAGCGGGTACCGGCGGCTGATACGGCATTTGAACGCTCTGATAGATCGACTGGTTTGTTCACACTCTCTTATAACGATGGAGCGGGTCACCCGCTCCATCGTTCGGGCCAATCTGAACGGACCGACAGTGTTATAGTATAAAGCTACTCTAATCGACGAAAATAGAATGATATGTGACCACTTTGACCAAAGGACTTGATATGTTGTCACTCTACGAGCTAGATGAGGCACTTGGCACATCTAAGTTAAGCCATAGATGTGAAAATAGTCCATTATTAGCTCGATACTCAGCTTATCTCAAAACATTTTATCATAAGACGTGGCATTTGACTGTTCCGATGACTGTACTTGTAGTGTGCGACCACTCCCTACCCTCTGACTAACGGCAGTACGGGTAGCGGGTCACGGCCGCCTATTGCGGTCGGACTAGCGTCACGTCGGTCCGGACAAGAAAACACGCGTCACAGACTTGGGGACGCTTAGCTGATCATGAGCTCTGATAAGCTTCACTTTTAGAATTTGTAGCGAAATGTCTGTTGCTAAGCGCAACGTCACTCTCTATTGTAAGAAAGGGCAATGAATAGACGTAATTGGTAGTTTCAATCAGTCTCTCCCGATTTCACGCACTGATTCTTCGTGTTACAGCAGGGAGACTGCTATCAATCACAGGACAATAGCACGCCACGGGGACTGCAACTCAGCATATAACAGTAGCACCAAAATCGACGGACACTCGTGTTATCTTACCGGTATAATATCGTGGCGCATTTCCCAACCGATCTCCGACATTTTGCCTGGAACTGTCTTCAGAGTCGAATACAGTCCGCAGGTGACTGTTGTAGTTATAAGCTGTGGCAGTGCTCAACAGAATAAAACTGAAAAGAGGAAAATAAACTTCAGTGTTGGCATTGGTAACAAAAACATTATGATGTAAAATTGCAGGTAGTGTCTTAAGCCACACGATTATGATGCCTCATCGTGGCAAGCAGCCAGGAGTCGGAGTCGGAGTCGGTTCAGCTACCTCGACTTCGACTCCGGAAAGTTAACTGAAGTCTAAAACCCGTGTTATCACTTTTCAGTTGTTTTTAACCAGTTGCCCCGCGGTAGAATTCGCTTCCGGTGATCACAAATAAGTTGTTCACACATCTTGTTTTTGTTCTGAATAACAAACATTAGATCTTACAAGTTTCAAGTTATGTCGTAATTTATTAGCAAGCATTAAATTCGCGTTATAACTTCCACTATCCAGTGTCAAAGACTTGATGACAACTGTATATTTATTTCCTTCTTTTATCGCTCCGAAGAGTGCCTATCACAAGCACAGATCACCGACATTATGGCGATGCTCGTGGTCATGATACGGCCACACTCGTGCTTCTCGGCGGGTTTTCAAGCGCTGGCCGCTGGTCTCTTGTGGATTCAGCTGCGTCCACGTGGGAGAAATGGTGACCGCATGGACGAAACCAGAATGTGGGATCGACCTCCTCTTGGACGTAGATCTAACACGGGGCTTCATATCATGCGGAATTTTGGCAGCCACCATTGTCCTTTGTATCATACCCGGAGTCGGAGTCGGAATCCGAGCAGCACTACCACGACTCCGAAACTCTGGTCTTAACTATAGCGTTTTATGTATGTAGTCTAACTCCATCTCAGCTTAGCAACAAAGCAGGTCGACGAACTAAACTACAACTATGAATTCTGTCCAGCAACAAGTAATCCCCACATAATAATAGTAAAACGGATCCCTAGCCCGCACATGACTCGGAGGGGGTGGATCTATTCAGAGTCCACTCTCGTTTTCTAAAGGTGCTTCTAAACTATTTAGCGTATCGACAAAAACAAACATTCAGTACCTATACCTGCATCAATTTGACACATTCTGTCCCAAAAAGTTTCGTAGTTACCATAGGCTGGCCAGAAATGACGTATTCGAAAAACGAAATTTTGCTTGTGACAGAACCTACTCACAAATAAATGAATTGGTCTAGAGTCATTGATGCAACGCTACATTGGCCAGTCTAAAATGTTCACAAACGGATATAAAAACAATGCTGACGTCAAATTAATCGACCAAACTAACGAGGCCTACGTGCTCTGATATGTAAGACACCAGAAACTTTCAATTCAGTGACTTTTTCAACCGAAACTTAAACTTACTGTTATAAATTTTAGGCGCCATATTTGCGCCTACCCATAAGGCGCAAATATGTTCACCATTGTGAAAACTGGTATTGGGCTCAATATCATCAACATCATGAGGTAAGGGACCAAGCAATCCAATTATTTACAAGACATGCAATTTCAAGGCAATGCTTGTAGTTGAATGTTGTTGGCTCTGGCGCCTGGCAAATTGATAACTAATAAGTAATATTGGCAAATTAATAAAATCTAAATGTTGATATTGCGTCTCACCTGGCTGTGAGGAGGGGCAGGGCGCGGCCGGGAGTGGTCCATGTGCACGCCATGCTGGTCGTGTGGGTCGCTCCGTCACCACCGGCCGTATATATGGGAGCGACCGGCACGGCGCGGCTCCGGCGCACGACTACCGGCGCGGCGGTGGCGGCGGAGCCGACCAGACCGGGACGAGCCGGTCGGTACACCCGGCGGTCACCGCGCCCCCGCCTCCCCCCCCCCACTGCTGGCCGCGCCCCCGCCTCCCGCCACTGCTGGTCACCGCACCCCCGCCTCCCCCACTGCTGGTCACCGCACCCCCGCCTCCCCCACTGTTGGTCACCGCGCCCCCGCCTCCCCCCACTGCTGGTCACCGCACCGCCCCTCCCCTGCCGCCCGGTCCCAATTACTGCAGCCCAACCTCGGCAGATAACCGAGTCACTGCAGTTCAACCCCGGGGCAGGTAATTGAGTCACTGCAGCCTGACTCCGGCAGGTAACCGAGTCAATGCAGTCTGACTTCTTCAGGTAACCGGGTCACTGCAGCCTGACTCCGGCAGGTAACCGGGTCACTGCACATCCTGACTCCGGCAGATAACTGGGTCGCTGCAGCCCGACTCCTGCGAGTAATACAACCCTTCACACTTTACAATCTGACTCCGGCAGGGCACCAGTCACTGTAGTATTACTCCAGCCACTGCGGTTACTGCAGTTCGACTCTGGCAAGTACCTTGCAGTTTGACCCCTCAACATTCCCTCACCCAGGTGCACTGGCCTCCCTGGAAAGCAGCTAGCAACAACTCCACTAGTGAGTGTATGTTTCTGTACCGCCCCAGAAAATCCCCGCAGGGCATTTCGTAGCTCCTGATAGCTGGTCGTTACAGAATGTGCAGTGTGCACGCTTCTTCAGGGCGAGAAGCCTGTAGGCCCTACGGCAGCGAGCACTCAGCTCTGGTCGTTGGGAGCACTAATTTATATACGAGTTCACAGGAATGATAAATTAGCTCTCTCTTGCTTATGAAGCCATCGGGAAGGGAATACAGGGACTGGTTGGTTGTTGGCATGAGAAGTTGATAATCTTTTAGCGATTTGTAAGGATATGATGGCGCATGCTCAACTCGCGCACGACTGAAATATATCGCAAGGAATGGAGGGAAGGGGCTGTCGAACAAGATATTGATAGCCTCATTAAAAACTGTCGATCGGAACCTACTCGTATTTTTGACATATATAGTGGCCATTGATGTCGTCACGGGTCAGGTCAAAATTAGAGTTATCGACGTTTCGGCATGCCAGCACATTAGCAAGCTCATTTTTGGCTTACACACTCATAAAAATATACTGAACGTACCCTGCGGGTACTGAGTCTCTACCAGTGTTGTATACGACTCAATCAATAGCAATCAATTCAATCACGACAAATTTGGGAAACCAATCAAATCAATCAAGTCAGAGCAGTTTTCGGGAATTGATTCAATCGACTCAAACGCGACAATGAAAGGAATCAATCAACTCAATCAAACGACTCAAACCAAGACATACATTAGGTTTTTCGCCCCACCAACTTGGAAAAGTGTCCATAGTAGTCTGGTGTACCTACCTACCTACCTACCTACCAACAGAAGAAACATAAAAATATTGTCATTTAAAATTAAAAATTGCCATGCCATTCAAAGTTCCTATGTAATAAGGAAGGATACCTAGTGATATATGATGATATTGAGGTTCAATGGGTAGAATTGGAGCAGAAGTTTCATTTAATCGGTGCAAAATGACCCAGTAGTTGACTCGCCCCTTAACCCAAATCACCAACTTTCACCTAAAAGTTGTCAATTTAATTTTGGCCATATTCCAACTCCATTTACACTAAATATCAGATATTGCAGTTGAAAGTTGGCTGCTCGGATTTTAGCAGTGTTCGTGATTTGGCCATTTACCTTACACCATGTCTATTTTAATGGATAATTATCCATTAAAATGCATATTATAATATGCATCAATAACATATTGACCATAGGGAAATAGAAATAAATATCTTACCTGCATGTGACGGTTTCGGGGACGCCGGTGAAAACAGGGCACCGGAGGGCATATTAGTCACGTGACATTTGGAACTTCTCCCGCTCCATGGGCCTTCTATGTGCCAAACGTCACGTGTAAATTTCACGAACCTTGATCAAATCGCCCCAGGCGCCCTGTTTTCACCGTCGTCCGGTTTCGGTTAAAGGGACTATCCCACCTTTAACATGGGGTTTGAGTTGAGATAGCCAAGTTTGCGGCGAGGTTCAGAAACCACTATCTATCTAGGTTGCAACCCCCGCGGCCTCTTGGTGTTGAAGAAATTCGTTCCCTTCATTTGAAAATGGGCCTTGTACAAGGCCCTATCTTCAACATGGAGCGACCATTAGTGTGACGTCACCTCGCTTAGTCATTCTGATTTAAATGGGTTTGTTCGTTGAAAAATCGCTTAACACTTGGTCTGAACTTTGTTGTGGTGCCTACAGAGTAAAAAGAATCAGCTTTATGACAGTGATGTGGCCTGGGGAAGGAGGTAATTTTGGGTTGTGACGTCACATATTTGAAAGTTTGTGTTTGGAATATGGGAAGTCTAAGATGTTTAATGAAAAATAAATATCAGAACCGTGTTCCTGGTCATCCAATCTATGAAGTCGGGCACAATTTAAGTGGTTTTAACAACATTTTAGAAGGTGGGATAGTCCCCTTAAACGTTTTACAAAGAAATAAGTATGCTAAGCTTTTATAAATCCTTATTCTACGTCTTTTGATTTTTTGGTAAGATGACGTCATTGATTATCATGTATTATGGTAGATCATCATAAAATAAATCGGTTGTACAACACCAATTTCGTTTTAATTATTATTTCATTTGAAATAAAACCACTTAATAATATTCGGTAAAATATTTTAAGGAAAATGAAATATATTAAATATGTTATGCTTAGGCTCTCAGGAGAAGAGGATCAACAAACGTTCTGCTGCAAATCAAACAGTGCAGCAAATTAGCTATTAATTAGGCACGTAAACGTAATTAGCGAGACGAAAACGGCGCTTTTGTTTCAGTTATTTTTGTAGGGGTTTCAGATATTTATAGAGTTCAGTGGGTTGTTTATGAGGAGATGTGGAGATGTGAATTATTAATTAATCACATTTTATTAGTATATAGGGCCTTGCACTTTATCACCTGAATTAAAAAAAAAAAACGTTTCTGCTGAGTGCAGAAAGGTAGGTAGGTGCATCGTCAGGTCCTATCACCAGGATTGGAGCAGTTATTGCAGTTAAAAGTCAAAGTTGGCTGTTCATGTTTAGGCCCTGTTCTTTATTTGGCCATCTACCTCATATTGCAGTTGTGATGACAAGCAGTTTTCAGTGTAGTTTTGTGATCTTTGATGTCATCAATTGGTGTCATTATTTTTCGTCAACTAAAACTTATTTGAACTTTCCATTCAATCGACTCAATCATACGAGTCACTCTAATTTTCGGGAATCAAATCAGTCAACCAGTCGCTAAAGTCAAACGAGTCAGTCAACCAGTCATCTCGAAAAGTCAATCGACTCAATCCAATCAACTCAAAATACGCGTTGAAACAAATCAATCAATTCAATCGACTTGATTGGTATACAACCCTGGTCTCTACTTGGCATGTTGTAGGTCAAAGCGTTAGGCTGGGTCACAATAGATCACATCGTAAGCTATGTGACATATAATAAAACTCGAAAAGAGTGTTATCTAGTGCTATCCGAGGCCATTTTCAGTTGGTGTAGTGAAAGTTTGGTCACGATCAGGTCAAAAAGGTCAAATTTCGAAGTTCAGGATTGCTAACAAAAAGCTCCTGTAAGATGCAGTTTGAGCCCAAGAGCACGATCCTTACCTAAAGGAATACTTTTTATATGGTACATATTGGGCTAGCGTTGTCTAAAGCGTACCGTGATAATTGCAAATGAATGGCGGATTATGTTACAGTTGATTCTTGGTCAGCATACTTACTTGCGTGAACTTTTTTACATTCAATACGAGCGTGGGGATGTTTGTATCTGTATCAATAATACTCTTGGCTGTATTGAGATACTCTTAATCCAGCCAATGATAGCGTAATTCCGAAAAAAAAAATTTCTGCAACGGTGCAATGTCTGTGGTAAATATTTCGCGGAGTCAGCGAGCCATCACCAGATTACGGTCTGGGTCTGTCCAGTAGGTATCCTCACACAGCCGGTCTGGATTTGTCCAGTGTCCACACACTGCCACGTCTGACAGGATTGCGGTCGGGAGCTGTCCACACAATGCTGCAGCTGAACGTGACGGCTGTATCGTCACAGGAGAGTCCTGATGGCGTCCTATAGCGAACGTAAACCCGGTGGGAACACAGTCTTTTAATAGTGAACGCTTTAAATGTAAGTCTGATGCAACAGTGGCCATTTCAAAAAGTGACTCATCTACAATTCTGCTTTTTACTGTGACTAGTGCACAGTGAGGGTCGGTTCGCCATCTAAGCGTTCGGACCTTATAACATTCCGCGGAAAAAACAAGTGTGTTGCTTGTGACGAAAAAAAACTGGCGGAATCCGACCATCAGGCTCTACCTAGAGGTTTTCAGTTGATAGGTGAGGTTTATGATTGGAATACTCCTCGAAGAGCACCCAACATAAACCTCCTTGGAGATGGGGCCCATCCCTGATATTTCTTGGAGCCGATTCCGAAATTCGCCTTAGTTTTATTTAAAACGCGGCCACAGCGGCCATTCCGTGGCGTCTGGTATCCTACGTTCGAATCCTCCAGCTATCCTCCAGCCTCTCTGCGTGGCAGCCGTTCCACTATGATGGCATCTAGTGCGATATGATCTGCCGAGAATGGACCATTTTAAGGCGACACTACCGTGGCCAATGACCGCCAAAGCCGCTGACCGCACTTATATAACTAATAATCTTATCAAAAGGTGGACACGAGTGTTCCTCAAACGCGCGAGATCTGCACTTCCCAGTCAATTCGTTTGGAGTTTGGACACCAGAAAACGCGCGCGCATTTCGGTGGGCACAGGCGTAACACAGCTCCCACACTGACTCCCCGATCTTCCGTTCTGTGGCGTGATCTCTCCGCAAACTGGCGCGGTGACCTCCACGGTCCACGCCGGCCCCACCCGTGACCGGGTC